TCGCCTAGTCGCCTAATCGTTACGTATCCTTTTTCTTCTCGCCAATTCCCCCAATCACCCAATCGCATGTGGTCTTGAACTATGAGTGGTGCCCAAGCAACTGTAAATGGAATTGATCTGAAGATCTCTCTCAGAGCTCACGAGAAGTGTCCTATCCTCTGGTGACGTCGGAGGAGGCATCACCAGTAATTTAAATGCTATGGTAATGATGGCTGGAGGGCAGTGGGGTTGTGTTGGCGTCACTGAACATGAGCCTCTTCTGAGGGCGTAAAGGGGAGGTCCCAACCAGGGTCAACCGTGACGTTCGCACTTTTTCAAAATTTCGCGACCCCCTCCTTTAGGGGGTCTCGATGCGACCCCCCACCACCACCATGAGACTCAGGAGGCTCCCCAATACGACCACCCTTCTTATTACCCGACCACCACTTCGCCATCATGGCTGTTTCTATAGTATTTGAATAGTATTTGATTCTGAGACCAGTGGACACCGCCCAACTCCGCCCATTTCTCTTCCATAACAGCGTCGAGGGGGAAGGGTATAGCCTCGCCATTCACTCAACAAATTACTAATCCCACTCAACCCCTGAAATGCGACCCCCCCTTCCCAAAACCAACTACAAATGCGACCCCCTCGTTCGAATAGTGCGAACGCACGGTTGACCCTGGTCCCAAGCACCCTCTCAGAGCGCTGAGCGGTCCACCACCAGTAACGTTCGACAACGTCATCAAAACCGCACCGCCCTCGGCCATTGTGATCACTGCTTTTTATCACGTACTGATTTCATTTTTCGCGTTTCTGCATATGATAGTCAGAGATTCAGCAGTTTCAGACAATTTGGCGCTTGGTTCTGCAGGTTAAAAGCACCAACCTGTTGCACTCCGAATTCAGAGGACCTTTATGAACAACAAATTCTGAGCGTAACCTGAGATCATACCCTCACACGCTTTCCTTGCACCTAGTGGTATCGGAAGGCTATTATGCTTTCACAACAAAATTACGCATCAGAAGTAAGGCTGACTTCAGAGTGGGTAGCAGCACATGCGTTCGTCCTATGATATTATCATGGATATCGATTATACGCGTGTGAATTTTGTTCATTATCAAGCTTACGAGCTGATGGTCCGTGATGACAGTTCGAGAAGAAGCTTAGGAAAGGGGAGGGGAAGGTAAAGTGAAGCAGAATAAGGCCTGCTCAGCCGCATAGGAACCCGTCGGCAGGGGAGAGGACACCTCTGATTGGTGTTCCACACATCCGTCCGCTTTGGTCTAATCGACCATTGCCCAGAGAGCTAAACCCTGAATTGTATGAGCAGCCTCACACTGAGAAAGATTTGAAGAGAAACGAACCACTTTTCTGGCCGGAGGAGGCATCACCACTGCTATGAATGAGAATCACTGGCTCACCGGTGGGAAATCATAATTCGAATCAGAATTATCATAATGACCACTATCAGTAAATGCAACGCGTGGTTCTACTCGCTGTGTCAAAACGCCCAATAACTCTCCTATAAAACATTTAAAAAAACGCTATTTACCCTTCACTGCCCCAGTCCTCAAAAGCTAGGCTGCATTTTGATCGAAGTTTTTCCACGACTCAGGATTTGCAGAAAACCGTCCTGTCCTAAGGGGTATTTCAACCCCTAGAACCCGAGCACCATGTCAGTTTGACGAGAAAATGGCACCCGCGTCCCGCGCCACAGATGCGCCATCACATTAGTTTTCTCTACACCGTAGCGCAGGCTACAAGCTCACCCGCAACGAACAATGTGATATTCATGTTCTACGGGTCAAACTACCTCTGACGACAAGTTTTCAGCGAATTTGGTGACCAAAGTTGTTCTGGCGCCTTTCGCGAGCACTCGTGGCGTAGGCGCCGGGCCAAACGAATGTGATATTTGTATTCTATGGGTCGAACTACCCCCGTGGTAACTTTTTAGGTAAACTCTCAGTCAGGGAAGTTTCGTGAAAATAGCTCATTTTCAGAGAAGTGGGGCAGTGGAGGGTAAATAGTGCCAAAAAAGTCGCTGCGAGGAGGGACCGCGCGCGAGAGCAGATGGGCGCAGACGCCACGTATGCCGCGATTGGCAAAAGTGCAGCAGTCGCAGCGGTAAACCGAAAGCATTATCAGCTGTTGCACACTTTAGTGGCAACTCTACCACCACCCCATCATTAGGGTCTTGATACTCAACTGAAATAAACAATTTTTCGAGCATCTAATTGCTCCCGTGACATTAAAGGCAGCGAATCCAACGACTGGAAGGCGAAACGGCTTTCATGACGTCATTAGGTGTCACTATTGTAAGGGTGTCCGGAGTCACAAACTCCAGAGTCTGGTCCAAAAAGTCATCCAATGAAACGTTATACGTGTGAGTGCTGACAAGCAGTATACGTATACCAGAAGTATACGTATACGTATAAGTATACCATGAAAAGCTGAGTTGAAATGAAATGGTGCCCCGGTATTGCCCGGAAAGCGAGAGGTGCGGGTTCTAGTCCCGCCTGGGGCGAAAGTTTTGTTCACAACCCAGCATTCTTGTGAAACATTCGCAAGGCGAACTGCGGCCAAAAACAGCAGTTAACGAAGAAAAACAAGTCAAAAAACATCCAATGACGTTAACAAAACCGCTGCGCCTTCAGCACTGCCTTAACAACTAAGACCGCGTTCATAGTTTGCGAAGCCGGAATTAGTGTAGTACGTGACAATGAAAAAACATATGTATTGTGATGGTGAGAGTTTTGGGATAAGTCGTCATGATTAGAGTAGTGCGGCTGATAAGATTAATATGTATTGATCGATTTCCCTGGAGCGCCAATCTATGCACTCTCCAGCGATTTCAATCTACAGGGTGGCCAAAAAAAAGACACATTGCCTCATGGCGCACTTCATCGAACTTTTCGTCGCACAGAGTGCCGATGTTCGTGAAACTTCTACGGCGTAATACTCCGTAGGTGTTCCCCGTAAGCAGAAGCAGCCCCTCCTTCGCTGTCCCCGCCGTCTCCAGAATATGACGTCATCTACCGCCACCGTCGAGCTCAACGAGGCTTACCGTAATCGCTCCGGCCTGAAGCTACTTCACGATTTCTTCAATGGATTGACGATTAAATAGCTTCCTCGAGACATTAGCTGTGACTATGCAAAACCACTTTTGACCATCGTTTCAGGGACGTCGTAATGGTCTATGGTACCTCGACGACCCCGTTGAGCTCGTATCGCGAACTATATTTCCGTGGGAAAATCTTCTGATGTCGTCGGTGTAGAAGGCTGTCGTATAAGGTTTAGATAGATTAGAAGGTGCTCTTCAATAATGAGTTGGGGGCAGTCGATTTGATTCTAGCAAAGTGTGATTAATGCTGTCTGAAATGTGGAGTCAAGTGTCTCTTTTTTTTGGCCACCCCTGTATACGTATCCAATCTTGTCAGCGCAATCTCCTACTCTACTACTATCCTAATATCGCCTACTATCCTAATCTCCCGAGTCGCGAACTATGAACGCGGCCTAACGAGTACGACCGCACACAATGACCCATAGGTGGGTCACACCATGCTACATTTTTTTCTATTTTTTTTTGTAAATATTTTGTAGAACAACAGTAGCATGACCAAGAACAGAACACGCTAATGCTGATGTAGAGCTGTTGTGAAATCATAATTTTGTAACAACTATTATCGAACAGATGTGAGCAGTTTTATTCAGTCATGGTCTTTATTGTCCAGAAATCTACAGCACCTATTTACTGAGCATGGTATGGGAAATCTCTTCTATCGTTGCGTATCGTTCAAAACTAAATAATTTGAGCAAATCACTTTCAAACACGGATCAATGGCGATTGGGCAGAGAGGACGGCGAGCCTCGAGAGACTAGACATGGCCAGTTGTAGAGGAGGACCGGAACCTCTATGAATTAGAAAAGCAGATCTCTCGAAAATAGTCTAATCGCAAGCACGTGGACACAAAAACGTCAATATTATTGGAAGAGCCGTTGAGAAAGGGCTGTCACATGCACAACATATTTTACGCCACAAGAGACCCTAATTACGGTTACGGTAACACTAAATGTTTTACTCTGTACTCTTTGAGGCAGTAACCCTTATATCTATGTACAAAGATGGGGCAAGGTTAAAGACAACGTTTGACTTCTTAGTGCATTCACTATTGAAAACTATTACCGTAACCTTGCACGATTAGGAGGGCTCACCAAAATTTCACAGAGGCTCTATTCCTTAGGCGGAACAGTCAGGCACAGGTCCAATAGCTTAGGGATGGGAGCATGGAGCAAGATTGGCCATTTGTGAGCTCAAGGTGTTAGTGAACTGCAGATGAGCTAATAAATAAGGAGTTTTGGGGCCTAAGGTTGATCAAGCGGATCAAAACTAGTAAAAGGTCACAGATACAAAAATGATCTCCATGAGCATCACTGCACATTCGAAATTGTCGGCCATGTCGAGTAATTCCTCCAGCAGGCCTGGACGTCGTCAGATCGTGAAACAGAGACAGGAGTCGAGCACACAACCGACGGACCATGCTTGGGCCGGGCAACTTCCTCCGCAATCACTGCCGTTAGAATTGGTAAGTTCTGGCAACGAACTCCATGCGGAATCCTGAAATTTTCAGAGTATTTTGAGTTTTTGATAGAGAAACTGACATCAATGCTTACCCGAATGTGTCGATAATAATTGCCAAGCCTTTGTTGGACTTCCTTTTGGGCAGAGACCCATTCAGATCCGCCAAGAATGTGACCGATTAACAATCGCGCTCGTAGATATGAACCGGCGACCCACAGCCATTCCTAAAGCACGAGAGTCCGATATATCTTGAGCAGATAAGTGAACAGTGAATTTTCAAATCACTGCTTCGACTTTTCCGAATATTTCAATTTTTGATTAAAGACAAGATTCGGGATAAAATAGGTGTGGAAAAGCGTTCAGTTATGAAGCTAGAGGTCTGGAAAAGAGAAGGAAAGCAAACGAAACCACCGATTACGCCCCGCACAGAGACCTCCCCTATTTCAGCCGCATTCCACCTTGGGATAGAGAAGGGCGCGTTGGACGAGTTTCACGAACCTAACTCTAGTTGCTCCAGTGCCAATGACATTGGGTCGCAATGGGACCGCTGCCTCAAATGCGCCCGCGCTTTTCAAGCAGCGCCACGTGGCAACCGACAGCGGAGGGTGGGGCTTGCGGACGAAGGTGTGAGTTGCGGGTCGGACGAGCTCCTTGCGCCTTTGTCGCGCACTTTCAAGCGGCAAAAGGGGCGCGACATCAACGCTTGTCCGCCTGTCTACTACCCCGGGATGGAACAGGCGAGCGCGCCTAATCCCGGAGCGTGCCTTTAAAGAAGTCAAATTCAGTGGGACAGCGAATCACATCCAACCTGCAGTTAGAGAACTAAATAGTCCGCTACAAAATCTAGCAGAACCATCCCACTCTTTTTATCTAATCACACTGACGACCATCGTTTAGAGTACGTAGACCTACCGTTTTTTGAAAATTTCTCATCCTTGTCATACCAATACCTTACTTTAGATTACCTCATTGGTAACTCCAGTATTATTTTCTGCAGTGTTCAATATGGACCACTATGGAGGATGAAAATGGAGGCATCAACTAGTAGGACGAGCCTCCTCTAAGGGGAACTGCGAGACACATTTATCCCGCGTTGTCGTCAATGTGTTAATCTGGCAGCACTAAAAGAACACTTACCGGACCCTGATGATAATTCCATCCCTTGGCTGTTTTCTTGTTTACACCGTCGTCATTGTTGTTATAATCGCCATTGTAGGCCCAATCGCTGAATAAGATCCTCCATGATTGGAAGGAGCTCTTGAAAAAAAAAAGAGTTCACTCACCTTGGATCCAGGGTTTTCATTCCAAGCGGTCCCAGAAGATGTTCCTTTGCCATGTCAAGAGCAAGCCAGGCCTTGTGAGGATCAATCAACGTTGGGGCCTAAGATAGGCAGCTATATGAAACCGTGTGAGAAAAGTGAAAAGAAAAGGAAAGCCTCTATCGAATCCCGCAAGCTAAACAAAACTAGGATAAGTCAAACGGCTCATCGCACCGCAAAATCTTTAATAACACCACAGCTTCAAAACAGGTTCCCAAGAAATCATAACCAGCGGCTTGTGCTACTCAGGGGCATGCGGAAAGCCTAACACACTCCCTCCCTCTTGGATCGACGGTCAGTGCACCCCAGCACTACAAGAACGGACTTTTAAGCATTGCCGCAGCTTTTCAAAACGCGATCTTATGCATGAGTATAAAGAAGCGCATCATGTCGGAACTGGCAGAACCATGGTATAATTTTTCACTCGAACGCCTCTGAAATAGCAACAGGGTACCTATGAGATCTTTTTCCACCATTTTTTCTATTTGTCTATTTGTGTCTATTCCCGACTGACAGCCTTCAAGTCTGTTGAAACTACTCGACACGAGATTGTCTTATTTGTAAGGATTACTGACCGTTCCTGAACAATGATTTGTACTAATTATCATCAACTCCATTTGCGCGAAATTTTAATCGTCATCCAGTCTTCTGGGCAGCTCGTATAATGCATAAATATTTCACCACACGAGGAATCGATACTAGGAAACCTTCCTTTTGTAATCAGAATAGCCGTCACCGGAAAATGAACCCATTGCCTTGCTGTGGTCCTCTAAATAATCGTTGCCGCCCACATTGTCATGCAGGACACCATTATTGAAAAGCTTTGGTCACAGCAACTGAATGACTGCCTTTGGTAATGCCACAACATGACTAGGAAGATTCAATATCTAGGAAAGATGGCGTGTGAGCGGTTTCCATTTTCTCTAAGTTCATCCTCTCCTCCTAGGCTCAAGTCGCATGGCGACACTCTCCTGAAAACGCTAGCGCCGGGATTTTCCACAGGATTTCTTGAAATTTTGCCGATTTTAGAAAATTTTAGAAAAAACTGTGAATACTTTGCATTTCTCTTTGTTGCTACTCCACCCTGCCGTGTAACGTATATTGTTTCAGTAAAAAGAGACATAAGCGGTTCCGCCGAAAAAAAAGAGAGGACAAGTGAGTAGGCACATGTGACAAAGGGCATGGCTTCGGAACCCTCTCTTCACACATGACTCAATCCAAGCACAGAGAAACGCAAAGGTTGAGAAACGACGACCTACCGTAGCAAGGGCGACGACGAAATTGCATCTGAGCTGATAATCCGTGAATTCGAGAGTCGAGCCAACAGTGTCCTTCAGTATATTCCTTTGATTCACAAATTGGCCATCATGATTCTCGTCAATAAAGAACTGCTGCTCGAAATTACTCTTGATCTTTTCTGCCCACTCTGACCAAGCCCAGGATTCATCACCTGAAAGCACATAATCGCCCTAAAATGAGCCCAAAATGGCTGAATTAAACATGACTGTTTAACATAGCCTTAATGAGAAAAGCTATTGCAAGCCTCTAGAAAAGTGAGAATACGCGGGCAGCCAAAAAGAGTAACTGTGAAATCACTTATGCATAGACGAAATTCTATACTGAACGATATGTTGCCAGACACTTCAAGATTAGCCCAAGTACAAGATCGAGGTTCCAGAAAACATTTCTTCTCCTTCCCCTTGATTTAGTGCTAGATTACTCTATTCCCACTGAATTCAACCTTTTTGCCATTAAAGCTTTCAATAAGGGATGGCACGTACACCACCGATTCTTCGAGCTACAGACATCGCTACTTGCTGGTTACCATTACCGCTGCTAAGTTCATACTACGATAGTACTGTGCAAAGTACACAACAATCTCAGAGCAGAGGGACTAGAAAGCCAGAAACTCACCACTGGAGACTCCATTCTTGTTTATGACACCAGCGTTGGCCCATTCAGACATCGCATTCAGCACACTATAAGCCAATGCTTGTATTTCAACCGCCGCTCCGTCCCTTGGCGTCGCTGGCTCTCCTCGATTGCCAGCCTGAACCCTATCGTTAGTCGTTAGCGCTTTTCCGAAATAAAGAAAGAAAACAGTCAAGAGCACGTTCTACTAGCAGATCGGGGCAAATATGGGGTTTGAACATGAGACGCTAAGCAAAGTTAGATTTCATACTGATGAAAGAAAAAAAAAGACTGCCGGAAATGCACTGAGTTGGGGTTCTATGCAACACCTCGCACCCAGGAAAGGATTAACCCGACATGAGATTGGTTTACGTAGAGTGCTAGGCGAGGTGCACATGCCTACAAGATAATAGTCTTCGTTCTTCGATTCGTTAGTTTGCTCTATACACTGGGAGTTTCACCGCTTCCGCTCTTCGTTCTCAGCCGGTGTGCCAAGCTTTTTCAAAATGGTTCTTGCATGACATTGGGGCACATATGGGGACCACAGAAGCATGGTTCATTTTTCCTGAACGGCTCTCTGAATACCAGAAAAGGGGTCCCTAGTTCGATTCCTCGTGGTGACAAGTTTTTGCATTTCGTGTTGACGTTTCCAAATTCGCGCAAAATGGAGTTAGCATGAATAATTAGTACCAAATTCATGATTAGGAACGTCAGTAACCCTTACAAAGAGACTTTGATTGAAAAACTGGTGAAGAAGGTGTGGAGACCCCCTTTTTTCCCTGCCGCTACCTTCCCCGCGACGTGCCGTTCAGGAAAAATTGCTACCATCGGTCTCTGTCGTTCGATGCTTATTCTTGTCTGCCTCTACATAATGATTTACGAAAGACCGTTTTTGGAAAAAGCTGTTGCCGCACTCCACGAAAGACATTCCTTCGTATAGCTCGAGAAAAAGAGGTCTCTTGACGTCCTGCTATAGGCTAAAGGGTTGAATTACCCTTGGCGGCATTTCAAGCCTACCGATTCTGTAAATAATTTTTCCCGTCGGCACGAGATTGAGTTCATCTGTATCCTAAACATATAATATAACGACGTCGCCGCAGCCCGATGACCTGTTTAGGTTGCAAATTGAAGCGCTTCGGCACTGCCCTATACACACACGGAAAGCAACAGATGAAGTCGTGACATTCAATCAAACACGAATGCCACGACACTCTCTGATCACCTATTCGCTGCTTCCCATTTTATCCATCCATGTTCCATCAGTTTCCATTGATTTCCTTTCAGTTCCATGAATGATCCTGTTGCACGGTCCTCAGTCGCGTTTTGGACTTTGATAACTTAAATACCGGAAAGAATACAGCGAGGCATTACGCAGCAGGAAAACACAAGACTAACGCAAAATGGAAAAAGTTAACTGTAACGGTGGCATTTGCTTCTGGAAGAGCCGTTCATCCGAGCTCGACTCGGAATCGGTTAGGGAGTTACATTACATAGCATTCAGACTAGACAAAACTGGCTGCGATCGCTCTTCATCCATGTTGATCGCCCGAATATAACTTCGTATAGGGATACCCTTTCATCTATTTCCTTTGTATTAGGTTGTCTCATAAATAGTGTCGCTTTTTTTCAACCAAAAAATTTTGATCTAAATCCCCATGCTTTTACAGAGAGTTATATACCATTCAAAAGAGAATTGTCTGCTCTACAAAATATCGTGTTCTTCTTCCATCTATGTTCAATGGTTTTCAAATTTGAGGCATGCGAAATGGGAGGTCCCGCCGACAAAAATTGACCAAACCGACAACTAGCTCTAACTTTATGTTCCCTTCGGAGAAATCAATCAATGATGTACCCTCTACTTATGCATGACCTCTTCTAAACATTACACTATTAGGTTTCCCAACAAGTCGCATCATTCCATTTCCAGACCTGGTTTTTCAACCAGAACTCGACGGTTGAGCACCATTACCTGAGATCGAGGTCGAAATTTTTTTACAGCCGAGACATTGAAAAACTAGTAGAATTTCAAGAACAAGTCGTGACTAAGTTAGGAATGTACGCCTGGTTGGTTTTCTCATCTCCTCAAGGATAATTTCTTTCAAAGAAATGCGGTCACTTTTGTGGACAAAGCACCTTACTCCTAAACCCTAAAATTCGAGCTAATTCCTAACAAACATCAAAACAAAACAAATGAGCGAATAAGCAGAAGAAGTGCTCACAAAAGATATACCAGTTGATATAAAACAATAGCGTTTCAGAGGAAGAATTTCAATTTGAAAATTGCCATGACTTATCGGTTGGCCAATTCGAAAAGAAACAGGGCAAACCTTTTTCGGCAACCTAAGGGTGGAATGTTCAGAAGAGGTCATGAGTAAGTAGAGGGTACATCATTGATTGATTTCTCCGAAGGGAAATAAAGTTAGAGCTAGTTGTCGGTTTGGTCAATTTTTGTCGGCGGGACCTCCCATTTCGCAGGCCTAAAATTTGAAAACCATGGAACATAGATGGAAGAAGAACACATATTTTGTAGAGCAGACAATTCTCTTTCGAATGGTATATGACTCGATGTAAAAGCATGGGATTTAGATGAAAATTTTTTGGTTGAAAAAAAGCGACACTATTTATGAGACAACCTAATAGAACGGCAAGCTTTGTTTACAGGCAAAGACAATGTAATCGATATTAAAGGTCGCGAAAATGTTGCTCTAATGGCGTATATTACTTCCCATCACTGTAGAAAAGCCGTTCTACTTAATTACTTGTAACAGAAGAGTATCAAATAAAAAAATAAGGCTCGAAGATGCTATCCGATATATTATCCCCACGTATTGGGTTCTAAAGGTCGTGCTAGGATTATGATCCAATGACTTTAACCCTGCCAAAGGTGGCTGTATTGAGCTGGTAATAAACCTGAAGAAAAAGCTACAAAAAGCACGCACCACTTCGTACGCTATCAATATGTCGTCTATCTGATGTCCGCGCATTTTCTTTTCTCTGAAATCAATTCCAGCAAAGTGCCGTTGCAAAGCTTCAGCCATCACGTTCATCAGTGGCTCTTCCTGAACTCTTTTATTTGGGAACTGGACACTGAAGGCATTATTTGAAAACTAACTCTCTCATAATCTCCGAAAACTGTGTCATCCTCGGGATAAATTCGTCTTACTGGACTGTGAAGGATCTGTTGGCCGCTCGGAGCCTCTCTTACATAGCGCTCAATGGAATGCAACCAGAACCAAACCGCATCACGGCAATTATATCTTGCACCTGAAAAATTGAAATTTGAGAAACAAGAAATTTTCGAAGGCACAATATCAGCGTTAGTCGAGTCCAAAAAGTTGTCACTTCAAGAATAAAGACGCTTTTTAACGCGTGACATCCCCAGTTATCAAACCTAGTGCTTTATTGGGCTCATTAATAAGCTGTCGTGGAGCTTTCAATTTAAGCCGCCGCATTCTTGCGGACCCGACACACAGATTTTTAGCCCTGGTAAAGACTGCGATTGATTGGTAAATTATTTAACCCCGCTGCGACTTGCGTGTACAGGTTTAAAAGGCGAGCACATCTTGGGAGGAAAAATGACAGCGACCTTTGCATTGTCATAATTACATTACTACGTTAGTGGTTCGGTTTGTTGGAATTTTTGTCGGTCTTTCGCCGTGTCGTTACTTCGGTTAGCCCTCCATCTTCGGGAGATGCCCTGACTTTTTTTCGTTCGTAAAATGCTCACGCATATCAAAATCGAAGTGATAGAAAAGACCAAATTTTAAACTAGAGCAAAATTTAACTTGTATTATCGATCTGATGAGATGTTGCTGCTGTGATATCCCTTCACTATATGCGAAAATAACTGTTCACTTTAGCAACCACTTCACAAAGTGACAAGGTCGCAGCTATTGGGAGCACGAAGAGAAACGCATAGCATCGGTAAATCGAGAGCTTGACCAGTGATCGATAGAAAACTGGTATAATTCATAGCATTAGTGGACTAAAAGACAAAGGGGAAGACGGAGCGGAGAACACTCCGCCATTACGTGATCATTTACTTAACTTATGGTTAGACCAAGAACGGTTGTCTGCTTTGCTTACATTAGTGGAAGTGACAACGGATATGACGGGAGAAAAAATGAGATGCGAGAACTTATTACTTCTGAGCACCATTCGCGTTTCACTGCCAATGGCGACTATAGCGCACGTGCGAAGCGTTGCCGCATTAACAGCTTCCAAGGCTCGGATCGCGATCGGATATAAGAGAGATGCTCCCCTTGTGTGGGGTAGCAGGACCGCTGACTACGGGGGTGGTGGTACTGTTGTGACTAGAGGGTGTGCAACAAAGGAGCTAGCGTGTTCGCTTGACCGCTGCCATTCCTATTGGTCGCAGCATATGTTGCCTGCACTCTCTCATGTGCGGAGTCCACTCTCATGTTTTCCCTCTCCTTGCAGCGCTGTGTCTCTTCTTCGTACCACGGTCGGCCTTGCAAGGGGATCTTCAGTGTTTTCAATGACGCTTTTTGTTTAATCTCATTCTTAATGTTCCTGCTCCTTTTTTCGAACATAACACACCAATCGCAACCGGTGCCTTTAAATCCGCGCCGATAATCAAAATCAAGATGCCCCTGGCAGCAACTTCGACAGAGTTTTTAGAGAGACAATCTTTGTTTTCGAATAAATAAGTAAGTAAATAGTTATCGTAAGATAACTGATAATAAGATTCCGTAGCTAACAAAGTAGCGCCTACCTTTGCCTTCTGCTAGTAGGTTTGGAATAAGTCCATGTCGTAGAGCGCCAGCATAGGAGAGGATTATATTCCTAAATCATGAGATCATAACGGGTTGCACAGTTTTGATATAGAAAATGAGAATTGAATTTGGTTACTTACTTAGCATCATAATATCGTCCAGTTGCGAGTAAACAACCAGGAAGGGCGATGAAAGTGTCACGACCCCAGTTACGCCAGATGTCCACGGCGAAGTGTGGCAGACCTGTAATGCGAGTACTATTACGATTGTAACGATTGTATGAGGAACTCAACATCCATAGCCTTTCCTGCCTTTGCGGACAAAACTGTTCTTTCGCGTGTGACCGCGCGCTGCGCTATGCACGCAACACGCCATCACACGCAAAAGGACAGTTCTCTGTTCGATTTATCCAGCGTTTGTTAGG